GCGGTGCCTGGTGCCCGGGAGCGGGCTGCGGAGGGTGACCGCCCAGCCGGGGAGTGGCTGGAGATCGGGGCTGCGGTTCGCTTGCTCCGGAGCAGGGCCAGGGCCGGCAGCGCATGGGTGCCTGCCTCGCCTTTGGCCTGGAACGCCTGTGGCAACCTGCTCCAGATAAGCGTGGCCAGCTTCGGAAGGTGTGACAACGCCGCGACAGCGCAGCTCTCCCGGGCTCCATTCTTTGGGTGCGGGGCGCCCGCGTACGTGCCCCTGACCTGTTTCCCAAGTCACCGGGCCAGGCCTCAAACCTGATCAGCCATGCGAGACCCAGCTGTCCTTCCTCACTAGGCCAGAGCCAAACCCTAGTGTTATTTATTTTAGAGGTTTTGGCCTTTGGGCTTCTGCATTCGCCAGAGAGACATAGACTGCGAGAGGGAGACCGAGAAATCATCACCCCACCACCACCACCACCACCACCGGGGACCGCAGCTCCGCAATCCCTTCTCCATTCTCCGGGAACTTGGGCATGGTCACCCCTTGGGATGGTCACACTGCAATTACTTGTCCTGCATTTTCCTCTCAACACACACACACGCTGGGTGTGACTTTCAAGCCATTGGGTCCATTACTCAAACCTGTGTAGACCACGTAGGAGTCCAGGGCCCTTACCCACCACGCCACCTGCTGGCCCCAGTATTACTTTTCTTAAGTTTTTTTGTAGTTTTTCCTATGGGCACTTTCACTCACCATAGACAGAAAGAGAGAGAGAAAGCGAGCTGTCAACCCCCCAGAGAGGATGGCCACACTACAATCCCTTCTCCATTCTGTTCTTGGGATCTTGGACATGTACGCACACGTTCCGGGCATGATTGTCAAGCTGCTGGGTCAGGCCTCAACCTGTGGAGTTGCCCATGTGAGAATCCAGTGCCTTAACTTCCACACCACAGGTGACCCCAAGTCTGTTTGTTTCTACCATGAGAGAGAGACCCAGGGGCACCCCACCAGGGTGTCCACACTGATCTGCCCCAGTCTGAGCCAGCCTGGGTTGCAGGCATGCTTGCACCCAGCATGCCCTGGGAGGTCCA